CAACTTTACTTTACGGGAGTTCTGCATTGGCCGAAACAAATGGTGGTCGGATGATGCAAGGTCAAGGCTATATGCATCCCAACTTCTTAACCAAGCTCGCCCAGTTTTTGCTGAGTCCTTTCTGTTGATCMGTTCTRRCCATTTTTTTCAATTCCTCCAGTTGGTGACAGTAAAATGTAGAATCAATTGTTCGATCGGGCTGGAAGAGCTCATAGTGGATGATTCCTTTCCAATCCCACCAAACACTCARYATAACATTTCAAAACGTCAATCSTGGCTTTGCGACCATTTGTTGRACTTCWCCAAGCTGTAAGTTTTTTTCAACTTCATCGAATTTAATTTGTTAAACGAAGCTTAAAATCTCACCTTTCCAACACTATATGGCATGACCAAATGYGATTGGTAGCACTGGAGACGTGCAGCAACGACATATATTGACAAAATAGGCTAAAAGACTTTTCCGACACAATATTTGTGACGTCWTCAAATGAAATATCCAACCTAATTTATGGTTTAAGAAAATTTTATTTTTATATTTTCATATTCTTTATCACTTAACATCATCATATATAGTATAACGATTTTCACGTTAGTGGAGTAATTCAAACTTGATTTTGTTAATTATTTTATTATATTTACTGTAAATAAATTAAGATTTTGATAAGTTACATAATTAAATTAATTTAAATATATTTAATAAAAATCGTTGCAACAAAAATGTGTGCATTCCATTAAAATTGCTGCAGTACGTCAAGGTCATACGCATATTAATTACAATGACCGATTACTTGACCCTAAATATAATTAAGATATAATTGAGTAATTAAATATTCGTAGCAAACTGCAATTAAATGCATGTTTTATATTTAATTGTAATAATTAGGGAATGTSCATTTTTCAACAAAGTTTCTTTAGTTTTTGATTATCCATTCGCCAATTATACTACATATATTTTTTATTCATTCGTTTTGGCCAATAAAAAAATAAATGTGAGTTGAACCACATTAGGCTTAATTACAGAAGAAACCATCAATTAAAAAAAATATATACAAATGTTTGGAAATCCCTTTACACGCGTTTAGCGGTAATTTCAAATAAAAATTGAAATAATTATTTTACTGGTCGGCACTAAGTACGAGCAGATGGTATTTGACTACGCAGCCAGCGGCTGATAAGAAAGCTATGTTAAGCTATTGGTTTATTGGATGATAATGGTTTACTATATGATGATGAGCAGAAAAATGATGCAACATTTGTAATTGGGAAGGCGGCCTTTGACCTACTTAGACTTTACGCTGCGAAGCAATAACTCAGCAAGCCTTACTAGCGATGAGGGAATGTAAGCAGGTAACAGGTCATACGCATCACTAAACAAACTTTCGAAAGCAACATTGAACAAAAGTGCTGAATTGAAACTGGCTCTGTACAAAGCCAAAGGTTTATGTTGCAATGCAGAAATCATGGACGCTGCTCGAAAAGGACAAAGTCGACATGCATTTCTCGGAAGGAAAAGTTTTAAGAAAGGTCAATGGTAATGACAAGTGGCGCATAAGAAGGAACATTTAGCCTTGGCTAAATCCCAATTTATGAAAGGCGAAAGCTTTATATATAGCCAAAGCGTACAATACTGAGCAAGTGAAACTTTTATTCTATTCTAAGGTATGGGAACGTGAAAAAAAAAAATTTGGTATAAAAAATTGGAGAAAAATCGCAAGTCTGATGTCTGGAGGTCACTCATGTAGCAGGTCAAAGCTTACAAAAATCTGTTGGACCAAAAGATGAAGATGATGACTGAGGTATTGGTACCAAACTTTTCACAGATCTTATAATAACATTTAATGTAAAGAAATATATTTATTATTCATTAAATTCAGTAGACTTACAAAAGTAGGCTCTTGCTGCCAGCCCTAACCTTGCTTAATGTTCAATTGATTTGTCTTCGAGAATATCTGTCTCTTGCGACTTACTAGGAAGAATAATGATTTTTCAGAAAATGTCGCTGATGTAGGCTGATTCAACTCACCAGCGTTTATATAAAAAATATCTTTGTAATAATCTGTAAACCCTAAAGACTCAACTGGGAACTTTTAAAATCCTCCATTTGTAGCAAAGTAAAAGTTGCATTCCAAAAAACGCTGGTTACGCTTCAACGTTTTTTTCTAAGCAATTAGAAAAGTTTCATGATGTGATATGGGTGATACTTGTGTGCTAAATACCGATCAAGGGTTTCTCTCAAAGCCAAAAATGAGGAGTCGAAGTCCGAGGAAGACGACGCTATGGGTTAAGATATCTTCGACTAAACAGCTCAACACTAAAGTTAGCCAGCAAAATTTAGCTTATTGTTTAATTTGCACCTCTAACTCTAACGTTTGATGAATGTTGACGATCAATCGTCGTCAATTTTCAAGATTCAGTTCTTTTGGTACGACTCCAGCAACGACACCCTCATTTCTAAAACATTCACCAAAATATGTCGAGTCGATCCATAAGAGATGTTGAGATTTGTTATCTGATCCGGTGCCGACCCTATGTTTTTCAAGCATTGTTTCTTTAAATTTTTCGATATTATCGTCATTAACAGAGTTGAATGGACCAACGACTCGTATGCGACAAGTTTGCGAGGACTTCGCAACCTTAATTGAATACTTTTTGCCTACCAAATACTTGTGTTCGTTTTAAAGTAGATCCCCGAAAAACTTCTGCAATACTTTCAACGTTTCGGTAGTCGTGATTCCATTAGAAACGCAAATATTCAAGCAAACTCGTTGAAAATGTTTCCCCATGGTAAAATTGGCCAAAGAAACATTTCGCGTCGTAAAAAAAATAATTCCCAAAGAAACAGTAATTGATTAATATGAGGATAAAACCTTGCACGAACATTAAGAATGTTGAAAAAATGGTGTACTCCGGGTTCAATTTGATCAGTTGTTAKTGAACCTCTGGGTACAATTAATGAAGTCTTACCTAACTTAATGCTATTAAATACTAAGGGAAARTTGTTTAACCRAAGCAGTCCGGGTCAAATTTGATCAGATGTGAGTAAACCTCTAGGATTAATGTAATTTGACCTAACTTATCGCTGTTGAATACAAAAGAAAAAATTGTGTAACCGGGCCAGTCCRGGTCAAATTTGATGAAATGTTAGTAAAACTCTGGCATCAATTAATGAAATCTTACCGAACTTATCGCTAATAAATACTAAAAAAAAAATTTTACCGGACCAGGCCGTATCAAGATTCATTAGATGTTAGTAAACCTGTGGGATTAATTAATGAAGTCTTGCCTAGCTTAATGCTATTAAATACTTAAATAAAATTTAACGGAACCAGTCCGGGTCAATTTTGATCAGATGTTAGTAAACCTTTTAAGCAATTTCAAAATCAATTTTGTGATTGTGCCACCAACAATTCGGCCCAAAATTGACTCATACTCACAGAATCTGACTGCCGCTCATGTCTTGTGACACGAGCTAAAAGGTACTTTCCGACTCCAGAGTGGCGGCACAGAACGTAAATTATTATATCTTTTGTTTCTGTACATTACATATTTACATATACATATACATATACATATATGTACATATATGCACATACAAGGTATATACATATGCACTTTGTTACTTTTATTGCTAAGCATTTGTTAACCATTAGGTAGTTTGCCATTGTGCTATTATTAACTCGGTTGTTTGTGTCATTTATCGCAGATTTTGTTACCAACTAATACACACACACACACACACATACACACAGATGCATACACCCATGCACATAAATGTCCATATGTAATTACTTGGTTGGCTAGTTTATGCGCTCGATGTTTTTATTGTTGCACCATTTGTTGTTTGTGGCATTAATGCTGCATTATGAAGAATGTCTGTCGGTTTAATCGACCACTTGATTAGTTGGATGATTGGTTATTCTTGTTTCTAGCGCTAATATGATTGCGAGTCAATGAATTCGCTTTGCGCTGAACACCAGCGCTGCGGCAGCGTGACTCTGCAGCTGCAAGTGTGTGTGTACAAGTGTGGTGAGTGAACCTCACCTTCTTTTCGCGAATGCTGCTCATTTGAGTCAAAGTGTGTATGTGTGTGTGCATATTGGCTGCAACCGGAAGGTAAACGTTTGCTTTTATTTACCACGTACACTGCACAACAACAATTCACGTAATTCTAATATCTCCCGCCCGCCTTCAGCCGCCTGTACCGCCAGTAGTCTGCCCGTTTGGTCAGCCCGGCGGTCTGGTTTCGCTTTGGCGTGGCTGCAAGCCAGTTTCTCATTTCGAACTTGCACTAGTTTCTCAATTGCATTTCATTTACATTTTTACTATCAATATTCATATGAGTGTATGTAACCGTATATGTTTATTTGTGTGTACATATATTTATTACTTGTAAACGTGTTATTAAGGGGCATATTTGCACGAAAATAAGCAGCGCGTCGCAGCGGCGTTGTAGAATGGCAGAGTTGATGGCTGCGCATGCGCCAGCTCACTTGCTTTACACACACACACACATACGTGTGTTACTTTATATTGTTGTTAACTAGTTACTTACGCTTAAATAATAAGTTCAAATTCATTTCTGCAATTGTTTACCCTGAAATCTTAGCTCCTATGATTATGCGGACTTGCTTTTGCTCTTGTGACAMGAATTTATTTTCAAAACAAATTATTCAGTTTGCGATCAGAATTTTTTGATATGTTAGCTTGAATTCCTTAAACATTTAACCGTGACCAAAACTTTGACATGTAAAATTGTGTTGTTGTGTTAAAAAAAATTTTCGAAAGGTTATGGTAAAATCTCTAGTACTATTTGACAACCWCAAATGAGAATTCTTACGGAWTTCATGGTTGGAAATCGAAGACTTTTTGATGGAATATAGGAAAAAACTGCCGTTACTTTTGACAATCAGTTCAAGAAAGCCCAGCGTGCTTTTGTTAAAGAGAAACGATGGAAATTTCTGTGGAAGCTTTGCATATTTCTTTTTCGTGTTATTGTTTTTGTAATATTATATAAGATATAGACGGTAAGTGATTTGGTCGTATATTAACCTGATATACCATCTGTATTCTCACGTTTTAAACATAAATCTCTATTACAGTTCTTCCAAGTAGGCTCCTGAGCCGGCATGCTAACGCCATGCTTTTGGTATAAGCTGAGATGATCTTCAGTGTTTTCAGCGAATTTCGGATTTTTCGATTTCGGCTCATTTTTAGTTCGCCCTTTTCTAGATTGATGGATAGTTTCGATGTCATAATCATGAGTTTAATGCGATGTGGCTTTGTCAATTACTTTGCCAAGAATGGCTTTTGCTATCTCAACTCGGCGCCGTTTTTGCAAAACTATACCATCTAACATTTTCAATTAAGTAATAATACGTATTCCTAGTAATTACAATTTTTAGAAGTAATAATTTTTTAAATATTTTAATTATACGTATATATTTTGAAATGTCCGGCCCCTACATTGGGAAGGTGCCGATGCCCAACTAGTTCATATCCTCGTAAGAATAAATGCTCCTCTACGATCATACTCGTAATGCGATCTGTACTGTCAACAATTGACCATCTTAAGAAAGTAATTGCCCCGAAACCGCCAGCTGTACCCAATAGGAGCGAAATTGTGTTTCACTAGGACAACGYCAGGCCACACATATACATAATGACTCAGTAGAAGCTACGAGAGCCTGGTTGGGAAGTTCTTATGCAACTACTTTATACTCCAGATCTGGCACCAAGTGATTATTACCTTCAAAGACACAACATAGTATTTTTAATGATATTTACCAACTTTTTTTAATTTCCGCCAAAAAAAGACATTGAGCCCTTTTACTAACGGCTTAAAGAATCTCTGTGTAAACTTTGAGCTAAATCGGAGAGGCTACCTAATCGGAAGTATGTATTGCCCCAAGAAGTAACCGAATGTATAGTATTAGTGTCACGTTAATGATTTCAATTTTAATCCAAAAAAAGAATCTGTTAATCGAATGAAAATAAGAACTTTTTAACTTGGAAACAACTAATTTGAAATGTTAGCTAAGTAAGTTCACCGAATTAAAAGTAAAAAATATWTAAATAATAAAAAATKTTATACAATTGAGCATTAAAAATGCACCATAAATTCTGTAAAACCYATTCATGGCGATTAAATTCCATTCCCACATGTCCAAGTATGGCTTGTGAACCTTAACCTTCAACACACAACATTCACTAATAGAAAAAGTGCTAACTTTAGTTCAATGCTTAAATARAAAACAAATGCTATTGATCTTATTTTGACATTCCCAATAAAAATGTGACTGCAAAGCCTGCAGCAAAGAAGTTCCGTGACACTTTAATGAGCATTCAATCATTCCATACAAAGTATTATACATGTTTGTATGTATTGTACATACATATGTATGTATGCACTTGAAAATTGTATGTATTGTATACGACATGACATGTAATAATAAAATACAAATTATTGCTAATGAAATAATATAAAGTGTATATAAGCGATTTCTCGCAAATCATGCACGCGGTTAAGCCGGGGACAATACGTATGGACGTGTWTATAATTATATAAATCCATATAGATATTTGTATATAGAATTTGATTTATATTTACATACATATGAATATACTCAAGTATGGTCTATGTGCCTATTTAACGGACATTATTGATTGCTTAACACTTGAGCATTTCATTCAAAGTATTTAAGTGCAAATAATCGAAAATTATTGGGTGCTGCTTTTGATTTTATTCCACATTTTTCATGCTTTTTACAGTTGCTCGCCATTTTTTTTCAGCAATTAAACATTCGCACATGCGCAGCTACTTAAACAAATACATGCAGGCATAAGTATATGTATATATTTATATATTATAATTGTGTATATAAAATTTCAAGTGGCGTGTCTCGAGCTGACATAATGAGCCAACGGGTGAATTGGGTGTCACTTCAAAGCATAGCTCAGTTACAGATTTGCATGCAGGCAAACACACACTAACATACTTAAATACGTATGCGCTGCTTTTATGTAACAGTATATAAATAAATATAGTTGGACTTACGTATGCACTTGATAAATTTATTAAAGTAATTTTAGCATTGCAWAAAGCCACTTCGCTGGTTCTCATACGAATTGATTCTGTGTGGACTGCAGTGCAACCGTGTGGTAGGAATTGGTGGTCATCTTACAAAATGACTACTTTCTCCGTTGTAATACTATGACCAAAAAAATAGTRAGCTTTTGTTCATGGTTATAAAATTCTTATTTTATTCGTAAAACTCTTTGTCATTTTTCGGCTTCGGTTAACTTTTGCCACGATGTCAGGCCGATAGATTGTCTGTTACCGGGCCGTGAGCATGGACCCAAGACTCATCGCCAGTATTAATACSTTTCATGACATCATGAGCGATTTTGGAATMAATCRTGCTTTTACTTTTCTCAGACCCAAATTATCTTTTATAATGGTTGTCACTGRTTATACCAAAATTCAACGATGCCAGTAAAGTCCCCATATGGTGGCTGTTAATCATCGATTCTCAAACACGAACAATTGCTCGACTCTCTTTGAAATGTTTGTGTCAAAAACAGAAGGCCTTTTCCAACATTCTGAACGTTTCGGAACTGAATGGAACTTCKTCGTTGAATAATTTTACACATTTATRTACTTCAAAAAGGAAAACGTATATTATATTGATGTAACATTTGGCACAGACCTAGAAGAAAAATATTTTCGCCTTTCCAAGAATATCCAACGTTTTCGAGCAAGATTTTGTTCAACGATGAGGCCCGCTTCTGGCTCAATGGGTATGTAAACAAGTAAATATCCGCTTGTGATCTCGGCGACATTTGGAATCAATAAGACGACAACATTTCCCACACATCGCATTAATCAATGAACTGAGAGAACATTGAGAGAACAGCAGACAATATCACATTTTGCATCGGTCAATTAACCACCAAGATCCTGTGATATCACATCGTTARACTTTTTTCTGTGGGGTCTGGAGTCAATGCGGCGAATCCCGCTTCGATTTATAGCTAAACATCATGTGTCTCATTCGCCAATTACCAGTTGAAATGCTCGAACAAATCATTAAAATTTGGCYTGAACAGATTGACCATCTGAGACGTACCCAACGAACGAATGTTGTTTCGAATGATAATAAACATTACCCATTCAATTTGAAGTTTCTGAGTAAGGAACCTGGAAATGGATCACCCTTTTTAATAGACAATAGGCCAGTGTTTGGTACTTTCGAGTGTTATATCATACTATTTCTGCAGCATATGATATCCCATTACATTGATTCAAAGCTCATCCATGGAAGAAATATCTGTCTCTGAGGCTAAATCATCTCAGCACCTCATTATTGCTTCGTCGATTAACAAGTATGGTGGTTTCCGCCATTGTCAAGAATATTTTGGATAACTAACAAACATCTAAGTATAGCTGTGATATTCTGCGGTAGAACAGTTTCATGTTTCGATCAGCCAGATCGAAAACATGTAGAGTTTAGCTGYTTAGTCGAAGAGAACGAAATCCATTTCGTCGTCTTCCACTGACTCCGACTCCACCCTTTTGGTTCTTCGTTCTTCTCGGCAGTATTGAACTAACTGTGARTATCTACATGGAAGACAGATTRTAATGRGTGATCTAAGTAGAGGTACTTTTTTCAATAGCCTTTTTTGACATATCACTCCWGAATCGTGTCAAGCTGTCTTGTTTTTCTTCAGTACTGTTGCCATTTCCTCATGGAAAGACTTACGCCTGAATCAACTTGAGACCCAACATTCATTATTGGAAAATATTCGACCAAATAGACCACGTSCAGCACGTAGGGAACCTTGAAATGATCAATGATTAAAGAGTAAAGAGTAAAAAATATGGCATATATTCTATTCATAGAGTAAGAGTAAGTCAAGAATTCGTTGATATGATACACCGTTGCCGAATTAATATCAGATTAAGTTAATGGTAGCCTTCCGAAGTTTCTGCGAGTTTATCCACTGCACCACGATTGGAAGAATTTGTATAAACTTCATWGCACAGTTTCTTCACAAAAGTTTAGATTGATATGTGAAGTACTTAAAAAAAATGTCTGAACAGAATACCACATTATATGCCAAGCGATATTTAATTGGACCMCTCAACAATTCGATCGAACTTCCATGAAACTAGTTCTTTGCTAACCTACAGATAATCTCATTTTCCATAGGGTAATTTCGAATACGTTTCTTTACCAACGACATTTTCATCGAATGCCAATCTGTGTGTTGCCAGTGCGCTGCTCAAGAAGGCGGGAGAACAATAAGAACGCTCGATTACACAAGTGCCCGCCATCTGCTGCACACTTCAAATTCCCGCAATTACAAGTCGCATTTGTGGGCAGTCAAATTGAATTCTTGCCGCAGCGTTGGCTTACCCGCTCGCTGGTCACTTGCTGGTCAATTCGTTACGCAGCCGCAAAAGAATGTCGTAGAGTTGCTGTAATCACCATTACCACCGCCACCGCTGATAGTGCTCCCATGCGCTGTGCGGTTAACTCTACTAGGTGGCGCATGCGGCAACACCTCTKTCGCCATCAMCGTCACCGGCAGCACTTGGAACGCTGGCTGGCTGGTGTTCTCGGAGTCGAGTATGTTGTCATACATGTCTAATTGAAATTGGCCAGAGGCACTTTACCACACGCCACCAAGCGGCAAACCACTGACAGCAGCCGTCAACCACCGCGCTCGTATGTAGGTGGCGGCAGTTGTGCGCCGCGATTTGTACCCACAACTTGGCTGGAGCGGAGCTCAGCGCAATAAWGCGGTTGAGTGGATTTTCTGGGACTGCTGGAGAAGTTGGCTGGCGCATAAGCTTGGTTTGTTCTATTGTATTTATTATTTTTGTTGCTGTTAGCCTTGATCAATGCACCGCGGAAAAATACTCACGTCCTATTGTGGTTGWCGTACGTTGGTCGCCCCTATCAGCAACTGGCAACAGTCGCGCGAGAAAACTTACTTTTTCATAATTATATCGTTTTTGTTGTTAAAATATATATTTTTTCTACCGCTGCAACGGTGTCGGTGACGCTTAAGGTGGCGACTGACGCATGCATTTATTCTGGCGTTGTGTTTTTGCTTTTTTTTTTTTTTGTACATACAAATGCATATATAGACACGTACGTTCGTACTTTGGTAAGTGTGACAACGACAACAAGTGTTTGTATATATAAATTATAAATTAAAATATACTCACCTATATGGGTCGACTTTACGCTATAACAATTTTCCGCTTGATTTCATTTCTGGTTGGAAAAAGGTAATAATTCTTTTATATTCGCATTTCGTGACATAAAATCTGTCACAGCTTCGTGTGCTCCATGGCCCTTTTTTGGTGTGGCTGCGTGTGTTTCGTGACACATTCGGTTATTATTCGATTGCTTAAGAGCTAAGCTGAGCTGAAAATATATAAAAGTTCGAGGTTTCCTTTGAAATATCATGGTTTCAATTAAGAAAGGCTTTAATTGCCGAAATCACATTAATTCTTAACGTCTTCCCTGCTAGCTGAAAACTTCACCTCGATGTCGGCATACAGAGTAAAAGGTCAAATGAACAGGCTCCGGCCTACCATAGGTTAGGTTATATGGCTGACCAAAGRTCGYASGTGGATAGATARATCTGGAAAATGTGGAAGCAAYTTGAAGCCCAATTCACAAATTTTTGGCATCGTTTTCACAGATTTTCGACACGGTATATTGGCTTGGTGAAGCAGCACTTTCTTCTTTGTCAAATGAACCGGTTTTCGGCGATTTCGTCCTTCAAACGGTCCAATGACGCTGGCTATGATTGGCTTTATTGATGGCCCTCCCTTTTCAAGGTAGTCAATAAATATTATTCCGCAACCCAAAATACAGACGTCATAACCTTGTCAGTCGGTTGTTACGTTTTCCCACGCTTTGGAGCGGGTTACTCGTATGCAGACCTCATGATTGGACTTCGGAGTGAAATGATGGAGACATTTATCATCCATTGTCACATATGGACGCGAAAACTCGGCTGTATTACGTTTGAAAAAGTGAGCTCGCGCGGCACCCAAATTGCACAGAGATTTCTCATGCCCAAATAATCCTGAATGATATGATGTAYACATTCAGTTGATATCTTTRGAGTGTCCGCTATCTCAACTTCACTKTASGTTCATTTAAAATKATTTTGTGRATTTTTTTGATGTTTTTGTCGAWGACTTTTTTGGGCATCCACTGCAAATTGGAAAGCACTGGGCAGTTTTATAGTTCATAGGTCAATAAGCTTACAGAGAAAGAACACCATAAATGGTATAGCAGAATACTGGTAGTAGCAGGGCTTCAATGGACAAACCTTATAAAAATGTATTGCAAAAATTCCCAACAGAACAAGATACAAGTATTTTTAGTATTAGAGATAACAGAGGTTTCGTGTACGTTCATGACCTCTAATTGTTTTATTCATATCGGTTTCATTCCAATTGTACAGCTCCATGGATCTCACTTACTTCTCTGAAAAATAAGCCTCAACGCATTGTTTATAATTAATTGGTTCCTAGATCTTAATAACACTGGACTTCTTTATTTTTCCCTCAATGAAGAAAGCTCAACCTTTTCCCTTTTTCATCTTTAGAAGCTATTGACGTTAACCAGTCGCCTGTGAGCCTTTGGAGCTGACTTTATATCAAGAAATGGTTCAATTACATTCCCCAAACAATAACCTAGCATCGTCCACTGGCCTCAGCCCTCTCATCTAAATGCGGAAACTGTGAGTATCTCATCTCGCTGGCACTGACATCTCGGATTATCGTATTTCTTTGCGATACTATTCTACAAGTTAGTATCGGTCATCAAACGCTATGGCAGGGTTAACAACGTTATAGACGTCTGATAAAATGAGTAAATTARTATGTSAGTTCTGWTCAGCTTTCTTCTCGTCTAATTAGAACAACAGCTTGGAATATCGGTATCATTGCTTGTTACTGATGTTGTGATAACGGTCAGCTGGATTCTATTTGGGTGGCAACGTTCAAGTTAGTTGTCRCCGAAATAATTTAATAGAGTTGATAGATGAGTGGTATTAGTTGGATATATGTACAAAGAGATGATTATTACTACATCCAGAAGTTAATAAAAGGTTACTCTAACCGGTGGCCTCCTACGCAGGCGTTAAAAGGAATAATATTAAAAAAGCCTTCTATTATCGAACGTAGTGCAGTATTCTAACAGGTCTCAAGCTCTTTCGTCTGCCTTGTACCACATCCAGACGGTCATACCGATGATGCGTGGTTAATGACTGACCGATCGCTTGCACAGCTTCSTTCTGGAAACTGTAGCAGCTTAAACTCCTACTTATCCATAATCGACCCCGACATGCCATATACATATATGCCAAGCACGCAACGAGTCYCCACATGACTCTAASCACTTATTTGCATGCCCACCTAACCCTACATATTTGACACCCCTCTCCCTATGGTCTGMCGCCGTCGAAACAGCATTTTTTCTGGCCTACCGTTGGATGACCTCGATGACAAGTTATCTAAACTTTACCACCCTAACGGAATGTCTTTTCTGAATACGGCGGGCTAGCATCTTGAGGATTTTTTGCGGTTCTGGATTTCGGCATTAATCACGATCGTATGTGGAATGCGAGAAAGAAAGTGAGATAGCTGTTTGTTAAGCAAAAAAGTGTATGCGGCTGGATCCTTGTCAAAACTGCTCGGATCTAACTAGTAAGCGCTAGACCGGCCATCATAAGATCGATTGCTTAATTATTCGGTACTTATATCACCAACTAATTCGAAACTTAATGAGGCGCACCCGCCTAGTCGCTTATTTCAAGTTCTCGCGTTATCAATAGTCGCATGCGCTTATTGGTCGACAATAGCTAGCCCGCACCTCAACCCAAGCTGTTAATTTATATAATAGTAGAAATACAAATCAGCTCAAACAAATCAACTCAACTAAACAACAGCTGTCGGACAGACACATGTACATATGTACGCATGTAGAAATAGAACAGCAAGTGTCTAGCGGTTGCTTGCGAGGGTTTGCCGTTAGTTACGATAGTTATTCACATCTGTTGAGCACTTTCACTTTCAACCGCGTTGTTAATTGCCCGCCATTCGCATATAATTAAATAGTAACGATGTTTATTGTTAAAATATGACATTTTAATAATTATTCAATATGATTTGTTTCGCTCGATGTTCCATATAAAAATCCATACAATTAATGCATATCATTTAAATATTCATTCACTAAAATATTTAAAAATATTCATATTATATATATGTATGTATGTACAAACATGCAATATATATATGATATTAAATTCAATTTCATTGCTTTTCGCATTTCACTAGTTGAAACAAAAGAAAATGAACTCAATATCCGCTCAATTTAATTATTAAATTTAATGAGTAACAGTTAGAAAGAAAAAGTGTGTGCATTAATAAGTTAAGCGGATTGCGAGATATATAAAATATTTAAAAATACAAATGAAAAAAATTTAAAATTACATCAAATTAAAATCGATTAATWAAGCTAAAATGTAGTGTTGTTTTTGATATTTTTTTGTTTATAAATATTTAACAAGACTCCAAGCGTAATGAGTAAACGTTTACGCCGCTCAAGCGAACGGCGCAAAATAAAGGCGAGCCTTAATCGACATTCTACCACCTGCTCCATACCTCCATTGCCAAACCCAGACACTAACGTGTAACTGTGTCTAATGTTATTTTAATTTCTTAAATTCATCGAGCTCCTCCGCTGGCYCACGCGCTTCTTGCGCATTTTTGTCGGCTTCAGCTGCGCCAACTGACTGTTGCCCCTGTTGTTCTGTGTCAGTTGTAGCATACATTTGGGCGAAACGCTCTTGCAGTCTACTCATCTCGTTGACTTCAGCCGCCTGTAACGCCTGCAAATTGGCGACAACTTCAGCTGTCAGTGCTTCGTTTTGTTGCTCGTTATCATGCTCGATTTCCATGTTCTCCACACCAGTCGCATCAATGACAGCTTCACCTGCTGTTACATCGGGGCCATCGCCTGCGCCAATTTCCGCTTTACGGCGCACACCACCAACAGTTGCATCTTCAAAAGCGTTGGCTTCTGCTGCTTTTACAGGTGTATTGATGGCTTCAGTTAATTGTATGCGTGGTGTTGTTGCTATTAATGGTGTTGGTGTAGCGCCGAGGGGCTCTGCGTATAAATAAAAATTCATAACACATGCATTGTGCTAGTATTTTTTTTTTTTTTTATTTTACTTACCGTCATTTTCCGAGTCAACGTCCGTCGGTGTTGACGATGAGCTTGAGTCACGCTTCAGCGGTGAGAAATGCTGCTCCGGCAGGCGCGGTGCAATGGGGCGTGCTTTACGTGCTGGATTCAGCGCATTGCAAAAAGCGCAACGAAATGTGGCGTAATCAAAGTCTTCTTTGAGTGCCATTCCTAATGAATTTAAAGCGAAACTTAATATACACACTGCAACAACAAGTGGACGACAGCGCGAAATACGATATGGCAAACAAAATGAATGCGCAACATAACTGTAACAGCACCTTAATTTTTATTACTATTTAAAAGTAAATACGAAAGCACATTGCGATTCGTCACTACTTTCATTTTTGCCACACCACAACGATATACTCACCGTTATGCGCAAAACACTCTTTGCAAATCATAGCGAAACGGTCCTTTGGACCATCGCCAATAAGTACATCAACAATACGTTCCAAAACACCTTTGCCTTGCTGATTGACAATCGGGAAAGGTGTTCGTTTGCGCAATTCCTGTCCAACCGGTCGTCTTTGTGGTGTAATTGGTAGGGGTACACGTGGCAATAGTGTCTGTGTACCGGCTAACGATGCAACTGGTGAACCGCGTAGGCTGGAGAGCTGACGTGGTGTAGTCGAAAGCGATGTGGTACTCAAGGTTGAACGCAATCGWAGATCTTGTAAACTACCTGTGGTAGCAGGCGCATTTGGCGATTGTCCAATGACGAGGCGTTGCGATGCAGCGCTCAAGTTACTCACTGCCGGCGGACGTGGAGTCAAAGCTACAATAAACAATATGGCATTTAATAACGATTTATAAAAATGCCAAGTACAAAATACCTTACCCAAAAATGGCTTCTGGCTATTAGTTTTGTCYCCATACTTGGCCAGCAGTTTTACTGCAACCTATTTTGAGATAATTTGAGACGTTATATTATACAAAAACAAAAAAAAATATTTTTGGCAAATAAAAATATATGCACTTCACTTAAAATCGTAAGTTCTGCATTTAAAATTATTTAGTTATAACATTATTTTCTTTAAACACGATTTCATGACATATATAATATGTTATATGTACATAGGTATTTACGTCTACTCATCATCATCGTCGTGCACTCACCTTGTAGGTTTCCTTATCCATGACCTGCTCTAATATTTTCTTTTTTTCAGTATGCAACGCTGTCAGCTTATTGGAGTTTTTATTCAACTTTCGCTCGAAGTACCACGTAAATAAACGTCGCAGGAGTATGATACTAAAACAACAAAAAAAAAATATCCATGATTTTATATAAAACGAAAACAAACACATGATATGATATGCAGTGAAGCTTAACAACAACACCCGCTAGACTGGATTACATTGGCGCCCAGGCACTTGTATCTACTTACACAAATGGGAACAAAAGTAATGGCACTGAGTAAACGATTCGCTCTCGCCATGTCGGCGGAAAGTATACAAAGTAAAAAACAATAAATGCGATCACATAAATGCCAATTGATGTAGCAAGAAAATTGCCTACAATGCGTCGTTTTTGCTCCTGTGTATTCAATGTATATTTTTCTATTTGTGTGATTTTCTCCTCCAGTCCCTCGAGTACCTCTGCAGTGGACTTTTCTTTCTATAAATAGATGCAGTACACACAAAAAAACATAAAACTGTAGACTTTATAACACGCATGTATGCAGATAATATTGTGTTTTTGGTGTATGAATAAATTTGTATATTAATTGTGGGGCCAACGAAGGTCACCAGCATATAAATATGCTGCCTTACCCTGAACTTGGCCAATATAGCACCCATCTTATTGCGCTGTGCTCTATTGCTTCAATATTTATTTATAACAGCTCACTTTCCTTTACACTTCAACTTCGCTTTGTTCCAATTGGAGTTCGGCAGTGCATTGACTGCTTATAAAACTCAATGACTACGTTTCGTTTCTTAAAATTGAGAATAGCTTAATTTACAGACATTGTTGCTGCTTAGTTTCGTTTGGTTTTTAGGCGTTGATACTTGACTCGCATTCCAATAGTAAGCGTATGTCCAATTTAGCTAAGTGGTTTTTGTTTTGTTGTTTTGTATGCCGCTTGCAGAATGACTATAACACAGAGTTATTCAATTGTTGATGACGACAACGGTGCCGCCTTTGACAGCTTCCGTGGCTCCCGAACGAGATTACGTGCGTTTTTCTGCTGCCGGGCAAAATTCAATTTTTATACAGCAACAGAATGACAGAAAAATAAAACCAACAACAATGATTAAGTCAAAAAATGCGAAAGCAAAAAATGCCAATGCATAATTTTTGCCGTTTCGTGGCCCCCCGGATAATGTTTTGGAGCAAACGTAAGCGTTTCAAGGATGCCACGTTATTGGACATAATTTTTAAAAAGTTATGTAGAGATAATTGTTTTGTTTTTTTTTGCAAATAACTAAAAATTGTTAACGAATTATTTCGTTTCTATGTATGTATCAGTACAGTTATTTTGAACTTCTCATAAAAAAAGATAATAAACAAAATTCAAGACAAATGCTCGCTGTTGCCCACACTGTTAGTACGCTAAGTAATATTAAATCGTTTACAAATTTATTAAAATTACTAATGTATTATTTTTATATTTTCAATTGTAGAATTAATAATAATTATGCTTTTTAATTATAATTGCTAAACTTTTTATATTATAGATATTATCTAATTTTTAATTGTCATAATTTCTTCCATAACATGGCAACGCGAAGAGGTACGTTCAACCAAACAGCGTTCGTAATTTGTAGCCATATATTTCCAATATTTGCACATATGTGCTTATATATAGGAAATTTACCGTTTTAAAAATGTTTCTTGTTTATTGTAAATTTCCATTTTTAAATGTTAAAATAATAAAATGAAAGTAAAGTAAAAATTCCGAAGTATGCAATAAATATTTGGTTTTGATGCTGTTTTTTTTTTATCGAGTATCCAAGTGCTTTCTTAAAACCATGTGTGATTATTGGGAAAATCCTTTTTATTATACAAATTACGATATCTGGAAATATTTAACTATTTTTAARCATATTTTAGCTATTGTTCCCAATAGAAAACATCAGCGTACGTTTCTGAAAACTRAATGTTCCTATTACTACTTTTGAATTTATGCCAACTAATCTATGTAGTGATATAAATTATTTCTTCAAGTGGCTGCATCCGGCGCATAATTTGAATTTTATTTTGTCATTAGCTGGAATACTTGACAAATGTATTCGATGAAAATGTGTGGTTCGGCATATATATATATATATTTATTTATGCCAAAGTATGTTTTTATTTGTTAATTGCATATAACAGTTGTTGACATTTGCACAATTATTTTATTTTAAAAATTGAAACAAAGAAGAAATTTTARCTTCAGCTGCCTCACAGTCACAGTCTGAAAACTTAGCCGTCCAACGGTTTGCATACAGTGGAAAACATTGTGCTGGTTCTTTATTAAAGTTATGTACTTGATAAGGAAGTAAATCAGACAGTTTGTTTGACAACTATGCTATAGAAGTTCGATATCGGCCATCAGCTTCTGAACGTGTGCAAAATTTCAGATTCGCCACAAGTATATGGCTAATTCGACTCAGTTCGGCATGATCATATTTATATATACATATACTTAAAAAGGTATCAGACAATTTCTTCTGGCTATCTAAACTTTGCGATAAATTTCGTATACCCCGTACAGAGTATAAAAAACATTATGCTTAATTATAAATTATCAAAACTTATTTGCCTCTTTGGTGGCTCTTATTCTTACTAATATTGTTATAAACAAACATCTCATTTCGGCAACAGATAACACGAAGTTAGGTGTTAAATTRATGAATGGTTTTTGTTAGTGTTGCATATTTGACTTAATGATAASAATGGCAATTAAACGTTCCTTTGCGTCAGCAATGTGTACATCCCAAGCAGCGAAAAGTCAAACAAATTTTTCTAATCAGCTTGGTGAACCTCACAGATGCATTTTAAGTATCATATTGCTATACGCCGGCAAAAAGTGTACTCCATTCGGCATGAATATGAAGCAGTTGAAGACATTTTTGGTTTTGTATTCCATATTACTTATTTYAGAAGATTCCTTCGCAGCTTGCTTGGGAAGAATTTAATTTTTTTTTTAAATCAGCGTCATAGATCCTAAGGGACCTGGAAAATATTTTTCGACATCCTCTATTTGTTTGAAGCTTTATTAAACAAGCAACGCCAATGTAAAGGGATATACCTGCCGGAAATATTATTTCAATTAGCAAGATGTGACTGCTGCCAGATCTACTGGGATGTCGCCATGTATAACATTATAATCATTGATAAACTAATATATGTAGATGCTTACATGTATGCACATATGTATATATATGTATACATTAATTTTGTGCACGCYACGGAGAAGCTCTATCAGTCGAAGACTGCCTGATCTGGTGGGTTTGTCGTAATTTAATGAGTTAATGTCAACTTGTGCTTTAAGAGGTTTTTATCTTATCAGCCAGCAAAGCGGCAAGTCAAACACCCTGTAAATTATTTAAAGTGCTTAAACAACTATCCGTTCTATTCGAGCTGAGCGATGCTAACTAATGAATAAGGCTCCGCTATTATAATTAGTCGTTTTTTAAAGTTCTATCGGTCAACATACATTGGAAGCAAACGCTGTTGAATTTGCTTAACACTTATCAGTTCCGAGTTTTAAAATATTTATTATTTACAATGGCAGAATCATTGGTCACTGGGGAACTTCTATACGAGGAAAAGCCGCTTTATGTGCCACCTTTGCAGGAATTAAAAGAAAGTAAGTCTAAAACGCTAGTGCAAGCACTTTAGTTAATTTTTTTTTTTTAGCCAATACTTGTTTTGGTATTTGTTTGACATTCAAGTGAGAATGTCATTAGATGGTATTCAATTGGAATTTTACCTTTCTAATAAACGTTCTCTGCTGGAAATGTGTTTTGGTTTGTGTATTCGCTAAAGCGAAGATGCGATGATAAGATAGTTTGCGACAGGGTGAACCAAAAGTCATAAAAATATGTAGCTGGAAGAGTGAAAGAATTTTTTTTTATTTTCATAAAATCAAAAAATTAATAAGTTATCTTAAAAATCCAAAAAAAATTGCAGAAAATCATATTGATACATTTTTTTAATTAATTGTTTTTGTAATTTTTAGTTATAAACATTTTTTTTTTAATTTTTTGTATGAAAAGTGTTATTATTTTTATTTGAAAATCCAAAAAATGCATAAAACAAGTTATGTATATGTATAAAATAATGTTACRCAATAATATTTTTCAGTTATACAAAGTGCTTTAACTAAAAACTTTGAAAATGTCTCCGTTGAAGTTGGTGACTGTCCCGACCTGACAGATCCATTTTATGGTTTGCTGAGCTCAGGTATGTTTTGTATAATTTTAATATTATATAGTATATGCTAYAGCCATTTAATACTTTAATATAGGCTTAGGTGGCTCCCCCGTGCTGCTCGAAGTGGGCGGTCCACCATTCTTGTTGCCACTGGTGCAGCGCTCCAAAGTGTACAATGTAAAGGAAATCGTGCAGAAGGCCCTTCCTGGCAAGGGTAAACTATTGGCCATCGGTGCCGGTGCTGGACCTTTCCCTTTGCGTAATACTAATTGCGAAGGCATCTTCAATATGGCCATCGATGAGCAGGGTAACCTCAAAAACGGTAGCTACACAGCYAAAGTGCATGGTGCCGAAGAGGTGTGTGTGTTGGAACGYATTCCCGACTCAGACCCACGTTGTGCTTTGCTATTRAATTTATACATTAGTCGTGGCGCCCCCGGTCCGGTGGTGAAGGTCAAGTGCAGTAAACGTACGGGTGAGCAGAATTTCGTCGAATGCGTACGCAAGGGTTTGGAGAGCCACTACAAGGATAAGTGTGTGGGTATGGGTGGTATTTTCGTGTTGAAGAAGGGTGCAGCGCATCAGCACGTTATGCGTGACTTCAGCAAGACGCCACTACATTCCGAAGAGGAGTTGAACAATTGGTTGAAGTTCTACAATATGCCAGCGCAGCTGAATGCTGTGGGCACACTGCTTACAAACGAACATGTAWGTTGCTTATTCTGGCACGATTTAGATTGTACTGTTATTCATAATGGAAATATTAATTTGCCTTATTTTTATGCAGGGTTTAGATTTGCGTCTCCAGCACTTCCACTCCTTCTCCAAGTCCAATTGGGGCGGTCATTACCATCATGACACCACTCCGGATGAGGCTGAATACGAGGCTTATCTGAATGTGGCTGAACGTGTGGTGCGTGTGGATCGTCCTTTGGAATCTCATAAAATAGGACGTGATTAGGGGCTGAGTGGCTGTAGATACTTACATATGTATGTAGAATAAGAAATCTCGATTTCTACTTTAGATTTGAAATTTTAGAGAATCTTAAATGAGAGGAAAATTAAACTGTTAATTTTTCTATCTGTTTTCAGCAATCCATTTGTTATGCATTTTATACTATATAAAATATAATTTTGTTTTTGTTGTAATTTAAAATAAATAGTAGTTAAAAGATTTTTGTTTGTTTTTTCTATCAAATATACTCAGTCCTATTTATAAAAGTAATAAAAACGGRCATTCGGGTTTATCTAACTAGTACGGATTCCGTTTTTTTTTTATCTGGTCGAAGACTCTCAGCATTCTTTCAAATTACTTTCGGAATTTTTTTTTACCACTACAACAACAGCAACAACAAATAACAGTAAAACAGTATTTCTGGTATTCACCAGTTCGAGATGAGACTTTTACCTAAAGTTGATCTCAGTTCTTTCTCAAAATGTTTGGTCTTAAGGAGAGAGATGTGCGAGATGTTGATAGCAGGAGTAATTTTAACTACTTGGAATTCTGTTTAGAGCACTGCGACAGTCGGGTTTCACAAGCTTTTAGGACACATTTTTTACAAGCAAAGTCATCCGTCATGGACCTTGTTGTTGTTGTCAAAGTTTGACGGGTAGCGGCCAGGAACAGGTAGTAATTCCTTACAGGAGCAGATATTGAACACTTGATTTATGGTCCGAAATGTAAGAACCTTTCAACTAAGTTCCCGAAACTTCTGACCAAGCACTAACTATGTTTGTRTCCTGGGGTTGTACTTATGGATCAAAGCTCCTTTTGTGTTGGTATTGGACTGACCGCTTCTGGGCGATTGCTTCCTTCRACATGACCAAATAGTCGGTACACCCTCATAACCATCATACCTGGCTAGTTYAACGTTTGCGGCGGCTTACTCTATTCGACCTCAACCGTTTTAGCTTGACGTCGTCGTAAGTGACCAACTTTTCATCATCAATAACAGCAMCGTTTTGTAACCAGGCTGCTTTTTCTGGCTTATGCTATAAGCCAGAAACGTATTATTATAGCCTTAAGCATAAAGAATTTTG